ACCAAGCATTGCTGTATAATTCTCATTATTCAGCAAAAGAGTAATAATGTTCCAAATGAATGCATATATCATGGAGTATAAGGTTGTAACCCAAAAAACACTTGACTGTGAAAGGTGTGTGACCTAAAATATTCGAATAAGTACATGATTATGCTAAATGTGTGATCCAATAAGTACATAATTAAACATGGTGTGTGACCCAAGGTACAAAATTGAGCATGATGTGGCAATAAGTACATGATTGAACATGGTATGTGTCCCAATAAGTACAAGATTGTACATGATGCATAACCAAATAAGTACATGGTAGAACATGGTGCGTGAAAAGTCATTATTTTGCACTACCTTAAATGACAGTATAATGAATAATATTAACAATAATTGGTTGGTTGGATATATTTGACTGTATAGGGTGATCGCCTTCCAGCATGATACATTTGTGTGCCATTGTAGATAACATTAGTAGGGTACAAACAAACTGCACTAAACTCAGCCTAAAAATCAACCATTTAAATCAAGCCTATACACAATATGTTCAATGTCGATACACTGTGGCAATGTACTGCTATACCATTGCCACAGTTAAATCTTCCTTCACAACCAAAATAAAACAAAAATATCTGTTTTACATCTTCAATTATAAAATATAAAACTAATTGCTGTTAAAAATTATGTATTATGTACACTACTATTATTACATTTCTACTACTTTAATAAAAGGATTAAAACATCCTATTTACACATAAACAAATTCCTTCTTTGTAGTATCTGGAAGCAGGTTTTGGCACTAACTCTTATTACATTAGTATTACTAAATATAACTTTTAGTTTCTCATCACTTTTCAGGTCGATAAAATTGTTAACAGCAACTGCAGCTTGTTCAAAAAGTACATTTCTTAAATCATTGTATAACTGACATTCTAGTATTACATGAGTTTCGTCCTCTACCACATGACAAAATTGACATAGACGTATATCTACCTGGAGATTTTCAAATCTTCCGGTTTCTATACGAATTGGTGCTACACCACATCTAAATTTGCTAAAAGCTGATATGTGGCTAACAGGCAAAATCATTGTACAAAAAGGTTCAACACAATATTTTTCTTTAAATATACAATATGTCCGTAATTTATTCCGGCCTCTACCTGATGAGCCCGTGGGGGCATTAATTTTATCAAACCACTCTGTTTTAAACTTAGCAAACATACGTTCTTCTACAGCTTTAACAATATCATTCTTGGATATAGGTATGGATATATCATTATATATTGAAAGGTCTAACTCATTCAACTGTTTACGAACCCAAAAATACCAGTAATGTATTATTTTAATTTCAATGTAAATCTGGTCAAAAGGTAAAATTGGATGTCTTATTTTGTATTTAGAATTGTAACATGTATGAATTTTTTGAAACAACATCTTTGTCATTTAATAGGTTACAGACTTTGTTTGCTAAATTTCAAAAAATGTTTAATCAATACTGGACAAAAAAACTATCTGAACATTTTTGTTTTATATTTATGTATTCAAGTAATCAAAATGATATTTACTCGTTACCTACAACCGAGCAGTTTAATATATTACATGTGTAATTGCAAATATGTAGTTATATCTTAATTGGTTAAGTTATCAAATACAAAGTAATATGAAAAGCCCAGAAGTTGGATAAATACAATGTACCTATTAATTCTACTTCAATTATCTCTATATATCAAATGTCAAAAGCTGATTTCATAGCTTGAGACTGATATAATCATTTTTGTAACGACGTGTTCATGCATATTCTAGACTTTAACAATGTTCAAGTTGAGATCATGCAAACAAGATATATAATAATTAATGAAGACACGTTGTGCTCTTGAAAATTATTCTTAGACTAACAATCTGTTTAAATATGATTCAAATTCATTACATTGAAAAAAATATATATATAATAAACATGATTCTATGTAAAAGAAAAATATTAAGTTGAGTCCTTTCAGGAGTTAAGCTTCAAGAAATTATTAAAGGCTGCAACATGTGTTAGTATTACTAGCACCGGTTGAAGCGGTATTCATTTCTATATTGAAATCAGTGATTCAGACGGACAGAAAAATATCAACTGCGAGATGAAAAAAATATCAAAATACCTTTAAACGTGTGTTATTTTTTGTAGAGGGTGGAAAAATCTGATAAACCATTTCGTCATATATTAGACTGTGAACTATTGAAAATTGAATATTTAAAGTACGTCTAAAACGGCAAAATTGAAAATAATGCAGGCTCGGGTTGCTGAGACTTTTCATGAATAATATGGAGCGTGCCAGGTAACGTCCTTGCCCATCGGTACAAGATGAAACAGTATTCTACATTTAGATATGTAATGGTGAAATTTTCCATTTTAAATCATCTGCAGATGTACGTATGGTCCGCAAGTAAAAAATTGACGTGCGATAATGGGTAAATCTTAACAGACAGAGAAGATGCCACATATAAAAAGCAGGCAATATATACTGAGTGCGATTACACGGTGATATTCAAGTAGAGTAGCTGAAACCATTTAACTAGAAAAAAAATAACTTAATTTTCGTAGAATATTCCTTTTAATCAGTCTGAACATTTACATTTTGTTAACTCAATTGTTTTTATACTTTCATAATTATTATTGTTGTTCTGTGTCATAAATTATATAATTAAGAAATAAGCACATTTATTTATAGTTACTTGAACTTATAAGAGAAAATGTAAATAATGCTAATTCAAAATACAATAATGTGCTATATTTATACATGAATGATCAGGATTTAGTTTACAACAATTATCAACGTATCGCATTTTATAAAACTTGTTGTTTATCATTCAATGATGTTGATTATTTTATACATACACTGTACTTGTATCTGGGGAAGGTCAAATTTTAGTCTTTAAGTACTGCGTTTATTTGCTCAATTGACTTTTGTCGAATCATGACATGTATACAAGAACTGATCTTGTAACTATATATGAATTTTTTTAAGCAATTAACAAATGTCTTTCCATAAGAGCGAATATGGGAAGTTAATAAATTAAATAAAACATACTTTTCATATTGCTTTTATCATGGCACTGTCATTTTAGATGCATATGATGAACATGTTAATATGTTTTATGTCCAAACATGTTTGAATATTGTTACAATATGTGTAAGGTTTTCACAAACATTATAAAAATAACGTATAACTCTTACGAAAAACTATGAAACGATTTTTAAACATTTAAGTCCCTTAAGATATATTTTGACAACTCGGAATAACTTTTAAAAACTAAATTACCGGTAGTGGCGGGGTTTGGTAAACAAACACTCAATGCGGTTTAACCGCCATATGATAACCGTCATATGATAACCGCCATATGAACACATCTGCGGATGTTTCAAAATTCTAAATTGTACCAGTTCAATTTTGCTTAAGCCGGTGTTAGGGGGCGTGGATGGTTGTTTGCACTTAACAGTACCGTCCATCAACAGGCTCAATCAAATTGAGCCTGCAACATTTCCAATTTTGCCGTGGTTGGCTTTCTTTAGGGATTCTTATTTCTTTCTATTTTATATAAATTTATTCTATAAAGAATAAAACATGTAACAAAAAATAGCATTAAGACACCACATTACAAAACAAACATTTTTAAAGACAAATACATTTCACAAAATACATAATACAAAATATTATACAACAATTCAAATTACAATAAAAACAATGTCACAAATAATAAATATATACATACCGGCTTATACTTATATATACGGGCTTTATAAGAAGAAATATAATTTCAATAAAAAGAATATAAATATCAAGTATTTCTTAACAGAAATAACTTAGAAACAGTGATGATTTATTATAGCGATGAAACAATGAAAAAAGTGGTCTGTTACCAAGAAAATATTTGCTATCCCAGAACCAAATCATCTAAAAATAACTTAAATACGAAATCAATCATCTATCACTCAACTTGCAAAACCAGTTCAATAACCCATAACAAAATGACCAAAGACAAACAACTTGGCTTAATTTAATCTTATCTACATACTTAAAAAGGGATAACCCTTGAGATGGAGGAAAGTAAAAGAGATAACAATATTTTGTTCGAAATTTAGAAGACTGAGTTGTACTCAGAAAAATAATAATATTATAATGAATGGAAATGCAGATATACGTAAGTAATATCGATAACAAAAGCATTAGAAATGCTTCTTGGTGTGTTTAAAATGCAGGTCTAACTAAGGTTTTTCTCTTTACTGTAACAGAATATCCTTAATATAAAGGACTTGGATTGGTTTCTAAAACTGGGAGTAATGACAGATTTTTCCCTATAATATATACTTCAATAACGGTATTACATGACTAAATGTGGCTTGAAATGGATGGCATACAGCCGGAAAGAAGGATGGACGAAATGGGCATAGCAATATACGTTTGAAATTGAACATTATTTTCTCTTTATATATCACATTTGTAAAAATGAAACATCACATCAAAATGATCAAATTACAACACAGTAACACTTTTTGGTCAGAACACTTAGTCACAATGATTCTGTTAACTTTAGATGAAGGAGCAGTTGCCCAAATAAACGATTTATTTTTGTATCATATATGTTTTTTAGAACCAGATATGTAAAGTTCAGGGTCATTATGGTGGTTTGATGGAGACTAATCAATGATATAATTTTGACCATTTATACATGATAATTATGAAAAGTAAATTCGACTTAATATTATGCGTTTTGCAGACTCTTTTTACTTTTTCTCTGTGACCTAATACGTTAAGCTCTTTCTTTTTATCTAGATTCGTGTCCAATAATTTAACTCATTCATTATTAACCTTGTTCAACGATTAGATATGAGTTCACCAATTTTACTTCAATTGTTTTACATGTTAAACACAATTCAACTGAGTGTATTTGATAAGTTTTGATAAATTAAGTCAATATTTAGATAAACCAACACATGTATTTCATAGTTAAGTTGCTGTAAAGTTAAGTTATATTTCATGGGAATAGTATTATATTTAACGGAAAAAGACAAATATGGACAAGATTTTAGACATAGTAAAAAGGAATAAGTCGTCAGTTTCCTCCAAGGATGATCAGAATAAGTACCGATGTGGGTGTATTTTAGGACGTAGACTTGATGATGCAGTTAAAGAGGCAAATGACAAGGATGTTGAAACATTTTGTACTTGTAACGTCCATAATAAACCGTTGACAATATTTTACGAAATGGAATTTTACTGTGATATATGTAAACCAAAACAAAATGATTCCTGTCACAATTTTCCACCAGAGAAGAAAATATCGGAAGAAGAAAACGTGCAGTTCAAACAATCGCTTTTAGATTTGTCGAATTATAAGAGCTATCTAATATATAATACAGATGCCGCACTGGCCCCGTCTCTGTTGCTTCAAAACGTAGAAGATAAAATAGTAAATTGTTATAAAATGGAAAGCAAATGCCTCAGACTTATGACTTATATTGAATATTATCCGGAAAAAGCTCTTGACAAGAACGTTCTTGTTAAATTAAAGACATTAAGACATATTCTGAACACAGCTCTGTCCAACTTCATTCCTGATGAATATAAACAGTACGTAACGATATCTACATCCGAATTTGAAGCAATGGTAAGACAATAATTTGATTCAATGACTAACATGAATAATGCAAATAATTAAATACTAAAAATGTAAAAGTTAATTTCAACATTTTTACGAACATTTATTAAGCGCCGGAGCAATTGAAATATTTTTACTACGGTTCCTTTAAGAGATATCAGATAATAAATGAGACGTAGTATAGTTCCATAGACTATTATAAATATAAGTACGGCTCTTGTTTTATCACCTATGCATTTCAGTGCATAAGACAAAAGGATACGATTTAAAATGTTATGTAGAAACTTTTTCAAAGATAAATCTTATATCTCTTATATCATAACATTGTTGTTTTCTGCCATTTGCTTGACTTCATCGGGTGTTTTTTAAAGTTATTGCGTCAAGTTATTTCTTTAACATATAAGGAAGTTTATCAATGAGCCAATGTGATATGAATCTAACTTCTTATCTGTACTATATTGATAAAGACAAACTCGACAATCTACACTCCAAAGAATCTTCTATGTAACTGTCCTTGGACATGTTTGTTTTCAAACCACATATGTCTTAAACCGAAAGCAGGTTAGCAGCCACCGTGGCCTCACTTGCTCTTAAAGAGTACCTATTTTGAATTTGGCTTTAATTTGTTAAGATACATTCGCTTACCCTCGTGTAAGACAGCTGATTGATACATTTAACAAGTGCAGATTCACTTAAAGATTTGTTATATAGTGAAAAAAATATTAATATTAAGTAACGTAAAGACAACCAGCCTTCTGATTATTCTGAAGTTTATCGTAATTGCACGCATAAGAAGTGCCAATAGAAATGTGAACAAATGATCCTAAGGTAATCACATTAGTTTTGCTCTTACGTTTGAGTATCACTAAGTGAACAGATGTACAAGTAATTTGCTGTTGCTGACAAACTAGAAGATATCAGCATATCAATACTTTAAAGCCACTGACCTCCAGATTGTAAAATGAAATAAAATTTCAAGTAAACAGTAAATACTGATCTAGTTAGGTTTATTTTATTAATCCATCATAACAGTTACTGTCACCTTGATTCAAGAAAGAATGTTGACAAAAGCGTTAGTATATCGGGTTTTTCTTTTCCATAATCTACTACGTTACTAACGCTGTAGCCAATATAAATAGGAGAAGATAATTCATTTAACGCAGTCACGTGTCGCAACAGTGATCCGGAAAAATCCCGGTATCCGGTATGCCCGGGATCGTTTATCAATTTTCGTCATTGAGTAGGCCCCTATCATATTTCAAGCTAAATCTTAAATCGATGAATTAGTCGTCATATATATGAAATAATTAATCAATTACAATTTTAGTGCCATGAATTACTACAAATATAAAAAATAAAAGCAGTTATTCGTAATCCTATATGTTTGATAAAATCCCGGATTCCAAGCGTTCCGGAGCACAGGTCTTGATATTGTCCTGTACGATCACGTGCTACTTGAAAAAAAAAACCCGGGTGAAAGGATTCCGTGATATAATAAAAGAAGGTATTTCCCATTGGTGGAAAAGCGAACTGTTTGTTTTCAGAGCAATAATGTTAAACTATAAACATTTTGAAGTGTCATTTCGATTTCTTTCAAGTATTTAATGATTTTGAGGGGGGATTTGAAATATTAGCAAGACGACAGTTTTTCTGCTATCTTCTGGAGGTCAGCTGCTTTAACTATGTATAATTTGTAGGATTGAAACTTACATTATCCTTAACTGACATTATTTTTTATTTCCATTGCTGTGTTTGTAATTTCTTTATCGCCTTTATCAACTGCCTTTTTATAAAAAATAAAAAAATATAAGAAATTATACAGTTTTGGTTTATTTCAGAACTTATGTATATGTGGCAATAAGAGAAAGCCATCACGTAAGTATACATATATCTTATATATTAAAATTATTTTTCTTTAGCTAGATGTGAAACTAGAAGATTGAGAATAACATTGTATTGATGAAATATAATTGTCTCTGTTTGTATTACTAAAAATATAATATATTTTCATATATGTGCAAAGGAAGTTAAATATGCATTACCATTATAATTATGTTTATCAACATTTGATATTATTTCAGATAACGTAGCTTTACAAGACACCGCTAGAACGGGGATTTCTAAGGAGTTCGTTTCCAAATTGAGTGGCTTTCTTTGTGAATCTGACATAAATGTCCACACAGTTGATGAGGATCAGCAGAATGAGTACAACTCCTACCCGTTGATAGTTGTTTGTTTAAATGATAGCAGATTATTAACGGATATTTATAACTCTCTTGACAAAGTACAACGTATGTTATTTTACTTTTCAGAGGAATGTTGTTACCTCTAAGTTGGCGTTTTAAATTAAAGCAATTAAAGACATAATAACATTATGCGTTTTGCAGACTCTTTAGTTTTTTTCTGTGACCTAATACATTAAGCTCTTTCTTTTTTATTTAGATTCGTGTCAAATGATTTAACTCATTCATTATTTACTTTGTTTAACGATTAGATACGAATTTACCAATTTTACTTCAATTTTTTAACATGCTAAATAATTCAAATACCTTTGATATATGTAACGTAATATTTCAGGTGAAGACATGAGCCGTGTCGCTTTAATTACCTTGCATGTAAAGGCGGATGATTATTCGGAACCTGGTGATTCCGATAGAGCTTTAAAATCGCAAGAAAAGAAAAGAATAAGACAACTGGGTTTGATAACTGATTGGTTCTACAAAGAGGAAAACAAAGAGAAAAATAAAAGCACAAAAGAAGAAATAATAACATTTATCAAAAGAAAAAGATAATGAACCAGTTAAGAACACTTAATGTTCTATTAAGAAGTATGTATACATATAATATGTTAATGTTCATATCTCGAACATGATAAAAAGTGGTGTCAATAGACTAAACTAGTCAAAATAAAAAGAAAGAAAAACAGAAAACAACATCAAAAACAACAAAGAATATTAAAAATAAGAAAACAAACAACAACAATTAGTGCAAGAAAAGAGGGACACCTACTTATTGCCAACTGAGAGCTTGTAAAAGAGAGTAGGCTATTCACAGAAATACAAATATCAATGATATTTCTAGAACAGTATTTGTATCATATCCATTGATTATAATAAATTTACAACATTTGCTGTCTAAAATTGTGTGTCCCTCGTTTTTTCTCATGCTTATTATTAAATAAAAACCACTTCATTTAGACATTAACCAAAAGATTAAAGTTGAAAGTTACATTTCGATAGTATATTTCTTTGTCAGAAACTAGCCGCCACACCAATACTTCACTTGTTACATGCTATATAGAAACAGAAAGAACGTGTTTCCGTAACCAATGCGAAAGCATAAAAATGCCCGACCTTTCCTAGAATTATAATTAACAAAACAAGATCACCGCATAGGCGGTGCAAAATATGCCCGAATGCAAATTTGTTTAATTAAAATGTAAAGTTTTCAAAAGTATTCAGATAAGAAAGGATACCCATTCCTTATAATTATACGAAACATGTTATATTACAATTATCAATATCATAGTAAATGACCTGATACATTACCATAAATGTAGAATGATTATTTCACATAACTTTTGTTTAGATCTACATGTATATTTATACATGCTTAAGTATCCATACTCTTGTTTCAAAAAAACTAAGATATACTTTTACATGCAAAACAGGTAACTTTGTACAAGTATACGAGCCCGTAGATATAAATAGTGACTGAAAACAACAATAATGTTGTTTTTTGTATGATAAGAAATTAAAGCAAGCTACAAATAATAATATACCACAAAATATTACGCCTAAACAGTAATCAAAAATTAAAAGGCTATGCTTTCACCTCCTGTTACATTTATAACATTAAAACTAACACAGACATCCACCTTATGTGCACAAAACTGAAAACATTTCTGATGCTACATGCTGAATAAAATTCATATGCAACGAATGCAAATTACATTTATCTTTAATTTTCTTTCATTTCTAATCAACCTATTTTTTACTTGCTATTACATAAATAAACACATTCATGAAGTAACTTTTAAGAATTCGGGAGATATTCTTCATTGAAATTACTTATGTTAGTTTTGAAATATACTTTCCACAACTTCCTTTTGTTTATATCGCGAAAAAACATGCTATCACATCTCAAAATCCAGCAGAATGTTTTCAGTAGATATTATATGTTATTTTGGTTTTGGAGTGAAATATGTGGATATATTACCTGTTAAGATTTTATATCACCCGAGCCGTTAGGCAAGGGTGATATTTTATCTTGGCAGGTAATTTATCCACGTATAACACTCCAAAACGAAAATAATAATTTTATTACCCTTCCCCTGCCGAGTTCAGACGATTTTAAAATAAATCGTTGAGCACTACTCCAAATGAATCGTCGAAATAAGATTTCCTTGAGGGTACCCCTTCATCACTATATGACGTCACATAAATACATGACGTATTTTCTTTCGAACCTAACGAATGTAAACAAGAGAAAAGGAGTAGTCTGTTGAACGCACTTTTTTGGAATTAATCAAGCTTTCACAAGGTCATATTTGTTTTCAATACTGATGAGAATATGTATGATTACTCTTTTTTGGTAAAGAGTAAATATTTATCATTTGAAAGTTAAAAAGTGCTTGTAAATCAAACCGTACGCGCATCGCCACAACGCATGTTGTTCAGAACGGGGGTACACAACAGGGAAATTTAATGTGTATATTACCCGTCTGGCTCGGTTATATCAATTTCTTTCAGGTGATCAATATCCAATCAAAAAGGCGGAAAAAATCTGGAAGGGTAATAAATTAAGATCTTACACAACTACAACTTGAACTAAACAAATATCCTCTATATGTACATAAAATGTTTTCTAAAATATATTAGATCTAGAATCTAATGAATTATTGTGATAATCTTATGTCGAACATGTATTTACCTTGAATTATATGCACAACGACACAATCCACGATTTATCTAGGCTTTGATGTTACAAAAGTCTTTGCTCCATATAAACTTTCCTACCTCTAGTTGCATATTTTAAGTGTAGTGAATAATTTTTAATTTTTACTTTCGGTAAGGTACATTTCTGACCACTTTTCAATGCAGATCTGAGAACAGTCTTGAGCAATTATAACAATTTCTCAACACATAACTTCTTATTGAGGGAAGCGTTAACTGCTTGACACACGTCTACCTCTTTACATTTTTATAAATTCTTGTAGCATCAGTAGCGTACCTTTCAAGTAAAAACAATTTCATTTTATCAGCAAATCATCCATCAAATACGGCATTTTTTTTACCACTTTTAAAATACATTATTTCAGCCAATATGGCCAATTATCTGCCAGCAAACTCTAAATTCTAAAAAAGATTTTAATCTTAAAAATAGTTTCTTCACTTCACATGAATCAGTGGACAGGAAGAAACAACAATTTTTTTATCGTTTCACTGCAAAATTCACACTGAGACATTGTGAGATAAAAGAAAACACCAAACAATTGTTTTATAAATTAAAGTCTAATTGAAACATGAAAATATTTAAAGTTCATTTTTCTGACAGAGATACGTACGTTTCATTTTTTACTATTTTGCGAAAAATATTTGTTCACATAATGATATTAAGTCACTTTTTGTTTCGATTTAACTAAACGGAACATGTTTAACGGAACAGTTAGTAACGCAGCAGCAATCATAAATAAGAGGGATAATATGTTCATCATTATGTCACAAAATTGACTATGAAAAAACCCGGTATCCGGTACGCCCGATGTCTGATATCAACTTTCGTTGATAAGTGGTTCCCATCGTACCATAAAATGTAGTAGTCTGGTTCCCGTCCTACTATAACATTTAGTACTATTGAACGGAGAGAAAAGGACAGGTAATCCAGACTAAAGTCGCCCCTAATTATATTTAAAGCTAAAGTTTAATTCAATATACTGGTCAACATATACACGGGAGAGCGACAATTGTTCCACAACGAAAGAGCGAGAATGTGTCTTTATGAAATAAATCCAAATACATATAAATTTTCATTTCACAAACTTAAGCATTCAGAGATATACATTATCTGAACGGAAATTTCAGCTAAATACACAAATTAAGTGCAATCAAGGCTGTAATCATTATTGTTTTAAGTAGTATAGGCGTCTCTTTACCCCCAAGACTGCGCATGCGCGGCGGCCATTTTGTTTTCTATTAATAGCTACTCATTTGCATAAAAGAAATGACCTCACTACACATGCGCGGCGGCCTTGTTGATTTACAGACGCGCGGCGGCCATATTGGATTTTTTATTTAGAATGACATCATTGTTCTATTTTAAGAATGACATTATCGTTCTATTTTTAGAATGACATTATCGTTCTATTTTTAATCTCCCGGAAGTATACGGAGCTGACTCGTATACACGATCTTAGGGCTTGAATCGCGGACATTGAGGGTCAGGTCCTCGGCCCTAGACGGAGAGATAATTACCATCATGACAGATAAAAGAAATGTTTGTAAATAGATACGTACTTAACATTTTAATTTATAAAAAATAGTTTAGGTTCAAAATAATATTGATACAAATATAACTCGTTTACTTACCTACATTTAGTAAGGAAATGACTGTCATAGCGTAATGTTCTTGTAGACTGCGCATGATCTATTTTTAGTCGCGGTATTTCACAACCACCAGGAGCTATTTCATCAGCCCCACGCGGGTGTTAATGAAAGAAAAAGGCATTAAGTACAGTCGCCGCTCAGTCTAGATTCACAATACCTAGCGGAACTATTTTGAACAAAAACCCTTTATCCTTCGTTACTAAATATAACTTTTCATTAATCACAAAAGAATCTATTATCCTTTCAAACGCAGCGACCGTCAAGTACAGTCGCCACTTAGTCTAGATTTACAATACCTAGCGGAACTATGTTGAACAAAAACCCTTTATCCTTCGTTACTAAATATAGCTTTTCATTAATCTTATCCTTTTAAACGCAGCGACCGTCAAGTAAAAACTCATCAACCAGAAATTGCTACGCATGCATTCACAAATTTACGCTTTATATATCGTACCCCCTTAATTAGGTTCCTTTTAAGTGCATGCTACGGTTAACTGATTGCATATTTTAAACACGGTTGCCCTTAACAACTTGTCAAATTTTGTGATTTTTATGAACACTTCAGATTCCTATTTTTTCATGCGAAAATTGATTTTGAATGAATAACTTATGTATAAGAAAGTTGTAAACTGATTTTAAATGAAATTTATAATACATTTAAGCTATAAACCGGTTTTTTATCGTTTGGGCAACCGTTTACGCTCAAAATTTTCGAGATAAAGTCGTTATAAGATAGAATAAACCGAAAGCTTTCGTTTTGACCCGGGGTTCTCGATTCGATTTTAAGCCGTTTTTGAGTTATGACGCAAGAGCGATTTTAAACCCTAAATTGCGAAAGTCAATAAAAACGTTAGAACTGTTTACCAATCGATTCGTCTCGTCGCGCTAATTAAGAAAATATATAGTTTTATGGGTTTATCTTTTACCGTTTTCGAGTAATTCGAGTTTAAAGTCACCGGAAGTGACGTCACAGAAATTTCAAAATCGATTTCTTCGTTATTACTTGACCGAATATATACGTGTTTGGTATCGTTGGAAAGCATTTTACCACACCTGTTACCTGACGCTATTTAAAAAGCCATTGGACCGGAACTGAAATGACTGAAGCGTAAAAACGTGTTTTCTGTACCACGCCTGGACCGATCTTAGGCGTGTTTGGTATCAAATGAAACGTCTTAAGCCGCTCTTTATGAATACGGACTAAAATCGAAATTAAAATCACTCATGCGTAAAAATCATTAAAATAACTAAAATAAGCTTACCCCCAGTCTTTACTCCTTGCCTATCAAACTATTTATGACAAGTTACTATAGCCTATCGTTAAACGGTCCAGTTACGACAGGTTTAAACCGGTATTGCTATTTTTGATTAGCCAATGAAATTGAAGAACGGTGACGTTTAAAAATAGACAGCCTCGTTTTGAACCCACTCTTTTTCATTAACCAATCAAAATGGAGAACGATGACGTTTAAAAATAGACAGCCTCGTTTTGAACCCACTCTTTTTCATTAACCAATG